GCTCGCCCTTGGGGACAAGGGGCTGGGAGCGGCGCGGGGCCTGCGCGTCTGGCGCGCGGCGAGCGCCCTCTAGGCGCGTCCCGGAGCGGGGCCGCCGGCTGTCGGGGTTGGGGAGGGAACCCCGGGGACCCGGAGCCAGTTCCCAGCGCCTTTTGGGGAGGAGAGGCCGCGAGGTGCTAAGGCGAGTAGAAACATAAATAGGGCAGGATCGAACACTCTGTCCTTCTCTCTTCCAAAGGCAGAAAAGGAAAAGGAGACGCAGGGCTCGGGGCTGCGCCCGCGGGGCCTTCCGCGGCGGGGCGCACGGAGGGCGGCCGGGACGCGCGGGTGCGTGCGGCGCGGGCGGCCGCGGGGACAGAGGCAGCGCGAGGGCGGGGGGTCATGCGCTCGCCCCCCCGGGAGCAGGGGGTCCAGCTTGTCGAGTCCGGGGCGCCCTCTCCGAGTCCTGGGCTCCCTCCGGGGGGGTCCCCGGGGGCAGCGCCCTCTCCGAGTCCCGGGCGCCCAAAGGGGGGTCCCGGGGCCGCGCCCTCTCCGAGTCCGGGGCGCCCGCGAACCCCCCCGCGAGCCCGCCCCTCGGGAGGGCGGCCGCGCATGCGCGCCGCGCGCCGGCTCAGTACGCGGGCACCTGGTGCTGGGGCAGCAGCTGGCAGCCGCTGTTGACGTGGCTGAGGACTTTCTGCTTGAGCTGCGCCACCTGCTCGCGCAGCAGGCTCGCCGTGGACGCCAGCTCCGTGTTCTGGCTCTTGAGGGTCTCATCTCTCCGAGGCGCGAGATCGGTCCAGCTTGCGGCTTGCGCAACTTGGAGGCGGCGATGCGATTGCGCAGCCGCTGCGCTCCGCCTTGATGCGATCCTGCGTGTCATTGTCAGTGGCGACAGCGGCGGGCTCTCGCCAACAAGCTCGGCCGTGGGCACCGTCTGTGTCATCCTTGAGCGCGGGCAGGCGCGGCGGCCCAGCGCGCCGGGCGGCGGAGCGGCGAAGACGGCTGGCGGGAAGGCGCCGTCGCGCGCCCCGCGGCCCCGCGCCGCCGCGTAGGCTGCTCGTTCGCTGTAGCGGCGCTCGGGCGCGCGCCGGCCGGGCCGCTCGGCGACGGCGCGGCCCGCGGCGGCCGCCGGCCGGCGCGCGCGGCGCGCGGCGGCGGCCGCGGCCGGCAGTGGTTCGCTTGGCATCCAGGCTGCAGCCCTCGGGAACTTGTCTGCTGCCGCCACTTGGTAAGAATGCCGTGTGGTCGGCGAGTGGGACAGCGTTGGACTGGATGATGACGCCGGCTCCGGGAGGCGGCTGAGCGCCCAGGTCTGGGGAGGCGAGCAGGCCGTCGGGGGGTGCGGTGCTGGGGGCGCCGTCGGCGCGCAGGGGGGCCGGAGGCGGCGCGGCCCCCGGCTTGAGCGCCGCCGCCACCTGCTCGCTCAGGCTCAGCGTCAGCGCGTCCTTCTTCATCATGCTGCCGGCCGCCGCCGCCGTCGGGGGCGCCCCGGGGAACAGGCGGCCCGGGGACGCGAAGCTGCCGCCGCTGCCACTGCCGCCGCCGCCCAGGCCGCTCAGCGCCTCGTCGCCGTAGAAGGGTGTTTCCATCCTCCGCCTCCCCCGCCGCGCCGGCCCGGGGGGGAGTGGCCGCGGCGTCCCGGGGGGCCCGCGCCCCCCCCCGCGCGCTCGGCCTTGCGCCCGCCCAGGCCGAGGCCGCTGCGCCCGGCCCTCCGCTGGCGGCGGCTCGTGCGCCGCGCGGCCCGTGCGCTCTCTTATAGCCTCGGCTCGGCGCGATGAGCTCACCGCCCCCGCTCGCCATTGGGCGCGGGTGACGTACGGCATTTGCATGAAGGGGCGGGGCGGGGCCGCCGACGCCCGCCCGGCCGCCGTTGCCGGGGCGACGCGCGGTACACGGCACAACAGCGCGCTGCCTTGTGGGTTGACGTCATGGGGGCGGGCCGCGCGCCGAGGCCGGGTCAGCCCGCCCCGGGCCCGCTGCGTGCGCCCGGCCTCCCCGGCGCCGCCTCCCGCCGGGGCGCGTCCCGGGTGGCGTGATGCGCGGGGACACAGGGCGCCCGGCCACGCCCCCTGCAGGCCACGCCCCCTGCAGGCCACGCCCCGCGCCCGGGCCGGCGGGGGATGGGCGGCAGCGCGGATAAATAACTCCGCGGCCTCGCGCGCACTGCGGCGGCGTCGCTGCCCGCGGCCTGCTCGGGGTGCGGGGCCTCTCCGGGGGCGCGGGGCGGCCCGGTCTCCCCGCCCTCCGTCCCGGGCGTGTCTGCTCCGGGAAGACGGCGTAGGAGTTGCTGGGAGCTCCTCGGTCTTGATCATTTTCACTGGGTGGGGTCTAGAGGCCTGCCTTTGCAGGTGGGAAACTGAGGCAGGGCGAGACCCCAGAGCCAGCCGGGAGTCACAGCAGGGGCTCAGGGCTGTGACTAGGCCTGAGCTCTTTTTTTTTTTTTTTTTTTTGGAGACAGAGTCTCACTTTGTTGCCCGGGCTAGAGTGAGTGCCTGGTTCAGCCTGCTCACAGCAACCTCAACATCCTGGGCTCAAGCGACCTCCTGCCTCAGCCTCCCGAGGAGTAGCTGGGATTACAGGCATGCGCCACAGCCCGCTTCATTTTTTCTATATATGTTAGTTGACCAATAATTCTTTCTATATAGTAGAGAGAGGGTCTCGCTCTTCTCAGGCTGTCTCGAAACTGTCCTGACCTCGAGCCACCGGCCGCCTTGTCCCGAGTACTGGGACTACCAGGCCATGCGCACCATGCCGGCCGTTGTTTCTATATAGTGTAGTGCCAATTAATTCTTCTAATTAGTACTGAGAGACGGGTTCTCGCTCTTGCTCCAGCGCTGGTCTTGAACTCCTGACCTCGAGCGATCGTGCCCCCTCGGCTCCAGAGTGCTGGGGATTGACCCAGGTGTGAGGCCACCAGCGCCGGCCTCAGCCGCGAGCTCTTACCCGTGGATAGAACCCTACAACTTGGGGAGTCCAGGCCTCCTGAGGCCTCCACGTTGACTCTGGGTCTGCCAGAGCTGGGGGAACGTGGGGTCCTGGGCGGGGTGCCCGCCAGGGCCGGCGAGAGGCAGGAGCCCAGCTAGTAATTAGGACCTGCTCATTACTGCTATTATGGCTGTCAGGCTTATGGGCCTGCCATGAAGGGTGGCCGGACAGGGGCGCCGGTTCTCACCTCAGGGCCTTTGCACGTGCTGTGCCCCCTGCCCGGCCTTGCCTTCCCCCAGTGCAAAGTGTGTCCCCCAAACTTAACTGCAGTTCTTTGGTCTTTAGTTCTCTCAGCTTGGAGTGCCCTTACTTAGCCCGTAGTGTGTCCCGTAGCCCCTGAACCTTCCAGAGTGATGGGGTGCACCGTGGTCCCTGGAGGGCAGAGACCCGGGCTCAGGGTTTGACCAGTGGGCATGAGTGCCCCGTTTCCTGCACCCCTTCCTCACCTGGCCCTGCCCCCAGCCGGGCTCCGGGGCAAGAAGGCCGCAGCGGAGGCTGTCAGTGCCAGCAAGAGACCTGGCTCGTCCTCATGAACTAACTGGGATGTAGTGAGGACGTAAGAGACGGACACCCGGCCTGGCAGGGGGCCGGGCTGCGGGCTGGTCTGTCGCCGGACAGGTAGGGGAGGTGTCCGCGTTTCCGCACCGGTGGGAAGGCCGTGCGTGCTCCAGACCCGGCTCTGGCCTGGGCAAGGGACCCCTAGTGGGAGGAGCCCCAGCCCCACAGCCCCCCTGCCCTGGCGCCCTCTCTGGGCCCCATGCTGTGGGCCGGGTTGGGGAGGTGGGGTCCTGCTCCTCCCTGAGGCCCAGCGTGAGTGGGCGGCCTAGGGAAGCCCTGCCCTGACCTCCGGCCTCGGCCTCGGCCTTGCCCTTGGCCGCTAGGGCAATGGTCCAGGGAAACGGTAGGCTGAGCCAGCCTGGGCTGAGTGGTGGACTCTTCTCAAGGTGGGCCGTGAGAGTCCAAGGCATGTGACTTCTCTGAGCCTCAGTTTCTCCCTCCTGAAAATGGAGCATATAATCCCCCCATACTTGGTGGAGTATTGTGATTGTTACTGAGGGTATTTGAAGAAATAGTGAGGGCTCAGTAAATGTTTGCTGTGATTGTTTTACTTTATTGTTATTTGGCCAAACTTAACTGCAGTTCTTTGGTCTTTAGTTCTCTCAGCTTGGAGTGCCCTTACTTAGCCTCCTGGCAAACTCCTACTCATCCTTCAAAACCCACCTCCAATGCCCCCTTCTCCAAGGAGACTTTCCTAATCTTGTCCCCTGGGATTCCCCCTAGTCCTCCATCTGGCCAAGCCCTGTCCCCCATGTGTGTCTGGCTCTGTCTCCCCCACACAGGAGGCGGGGAGGTCCTCAGGGCTGGATTGGGAGGACTTGCCCTGGCCTCCTAAGCGTGGGGAGCGACCCTTGGCAAGCTCTGCTGCCCCGCTCCGCAAAGGCTCCTCTGCCTGTGCATTTGCTGTGTCTATGCCTCAGTGCCCCTCCCTGCCCCCGCTTTCTTCCCGCCGGCCAGGGAGCCCTCCAGACACCCCGTTCCTGTCCACTCTGGCCCATCGCTGACCCCACAGCCGCCCTGTCCTGCTCCGTCCTCCCAGATCCGTCCGGGCGTGTCTGCTCCGGCGAAGACGCGTAGGAAGTTGCTGGGAGCTCCTCCGGTCTGATCATTTCGCTGGGTGGGTCTAGAGGCCGCCTTCTGCAGGATGGAACTGAGGCAGGGCGAGACCCCAGAGCCAGGGGAGTCACAGCAGGGGCCAGGCTGTGACTAGGCAGCCTTTTTTTTTTTTTTTTTTTTGTGGAGACAGAGTCTCATTTGTTGCCGGGCTAAGTGATGTCAGTGGCGTCAGCATCAGCATCAACCAGCACTCAGACTTGGCTCAAGCGATCTCCTGCCTCAGCCTCCGAGGAGTGGGACCTACAGGCATGTGCCACCATGCCGGCAATTTTCTATATATAATAGTTGGCCCAACTAATTCTTCTATTCTATAGTAAAGCACGGGTATTGCTCCGCTCTTGCGTCAGGCCTGGTCTCGAACTCCTACCTCAGAGCCATCCGCCCGCCTTGGCCTCCGAGGCTCCGGACTACAGGCATGCGCACCATGCCGGCTCTTTTTTATATACTAATTAGTTGGAAATTAATTTCTTTTCTATTATAGTAGAGAACGGGGTCTCGCTCTTGGCTCAGGCTGGTCTTTGAACTCTACCCTCGAGCGAATACTGCCCCCTCGCCTCCCAGAGTGCCGGATGACAGGCGTGCAGACACCGCACGGGCCATGGGCCCGAGCCTTACCCGTGGATAGAACCCTACAACTTGGGGAGTCCAGGCCTCTGGGCGGCTGCCCACGCTTCGACTCTGGGTCTGCCAGGGCCTGACGTGGGTCCCTGGGCGGGGGCGGCCCGCTCCAGGGGCCGGGCGATGAGGCAGGAGCCCAGCTAGTAATTAGGACCTGCTCATTTACTGCTATTATGGCTGTCAGGCTTATGGCGGGGGGGGGGGGCCATGAAGGTGGTCGACAGGCGCGCCGGTTCTCACGCCAGGGCTTTGCACGTGCTGTGCCCTGCCGCCTTGCGCTTCCCAGGCAAAGTGCTTCCCAAACTTAACCGCAGTTCTTTGTCTTAGTTCTCTCAGCTTGGAGTGCCTTATCCTAGCCCGATGTGTCCGCCCTGCAACTTCACGAGTGATGGGGCGTGCACCGGGTCCTGAGGCAGCAGACCCCTCAGGGTTGACAGTGGCATAGTGCCCCGTTTCCTGCACCCTTCCTCCACCTGGCCCTGCCCCACGGGCTCGGGGCAAGAAGGCCGCAGGGAGGCTGTCAGTGCCAGCAAGAGACCTGGCTCGTCCTCATGAACAACTGAATGTAGTGAGACCCGGCCTGGCAGGGGCCGGGCTGCGGGGCTGGTCTGTCGCCGGACAGGTAGGGAGGTGTCCGCGTTTCCGCACCCGTGGGAAGGCGAGCCGCGTCAACGCCGGCCTGGCCGGCAAGGACCTAGTGGGAGGAGCCCCAGCCCCACAGCCCCCCGCCTGGCCCTCTCTGGCCCATGCTGTGGGCTGGATTGGGGAGGTGGGGTCCTGCTCCTCCCTGAGGCCAGCGTGAGTGGGCGCGCCTAGGGAAGCCTGCCTGACCTCCCGCTCTGGCTCCGGCTTTGCCCTTGGCCGCTAGGCAATGGT